TCGAAAATACTTTATGGATCTAGAGGTGTTCACTATTTACTTATAAAAATTTACAGTAAAATATAAGTGCTCATTATGTTTCTTAATGAGTGAAACAAAAGTGCAACCAAACGAAACATCAATACCTATTCATTGTAATTCAATCGTAACATTTTTTTATTTCTGCATTAAAGAAATATATTGCAATTATGTGTCATGACACTCTGCAACCTAATTGTTGAAAAAAAAAATCATTATACAAAATCAAATTAATCTTGATATATCAAATTCATTTTGAAAATAAAAAGCTGGTCATCCAGTAATGAAGTGCTTTGACAGACAATAAATTACAATTAAGAGAATAAGAGAAGAGAGATCTTTAATTCTTGTGCCTTATTCCCTGGAGATTTGATAACACACACACGCTTGATAAGAGATATGCCTTAACAACCTCCAACACCAAACTCATTAATTTATCTTTAACTGGATGCATGTTCAGCCATTATTCCCAAGAGACAAATGAATTTACATTATCTTCTATGTAATGTAAAAACTGTTTTAAACACTTGATGATGTTTCTTTTTTTTTTAGTTTTAATGAGTTGTTTTAAGCTGTACTAGTTCACATTTTTGTACAGATATTTTAGATTCTATCTCTCAAACCTTATAAATTTAAATAAAAAGTAAAACCTGTAAAATGCAGAAAAATAAACAAATAAAATTGAAAATTCCAGATGCACACCTTCATATGGTGAATAATAAGTGTGCAAATTTTCAGATAAATCCTTGCAATAGTTTGTGAGAAACGGTCTGCACAAGACCACAAAATAAAAATGAAAAAACACCTGTAAAATTCAAAATAATCATCCAATCAAGATGAAAATAGCAGGTGCACACCTTCATATGGTGAATAATATGTGTATAAATTTTCAGACAAATCCTTCCAATAGTTTTTGAGAAATCGTCCGGACAAAATTTCGTCTACAGACAGACAGACAGACAGACAGACGGACAGACAGACAGACGGACAGACGGACATGGTGATTCCAATATACCCCCCCTAAACTTCGTTTGCGGGTGGTATAATAAAAAATGACTCTGGACATCCTCCCCCTAACTTAGAAAACATTGACCTCACTATCATTGTTTTTTATTTGTTTATTTGTTTTCAGTTTTTTTCCTCCTGCTGGTCAGGAAATTCTGGGCTGGAATTTTTTGACTGAGATGTGAACCCCCCTCCCTACTCCCGAAAAAAAATTCTGGATCCGCACCAGTATTGGCAGTAAGTTCAGTAACTGAATGTCACATTGACAACGGGAGATAACTTCGCAATATGAAATTCGTCTAGTGTGGCATGCGATGATCTTTGACCCTTTTTGAACTTTAACCTAATCGTTTGGGTGTATTTTACCCCCCACTATACTTAAACTTCTACTTACCGACTGCCTGTGTCTCGTCAACTTCATGAAATATAAATCCAATTATAACACAAAATGAATTAATCCAATGCACACCAGACTGCAGCCATGTGCTAATTCCATTCGGCGAACCTTCGTCGATTCCGTCACCTTATCAGATGAAGTGGGAATCGGCCGAGGTGTGCCAAATGGTGTTTAATCTATAAATATGATAATGGGTGACGCAACGTGATGTGATGTAGAAATTTACATGTTAACATGTATAGTACAAGAACAAATTTTAAATTAATTCATAACAAACGATATACAATTTTAACAAACCTTTTCCATCTAGCCTATTCCAAAAAGTATGTGCTGTGTGATTGTGGTGTCGAGTGGGGGGGGGGGGGGGATTAGTAAATTTAAAAAGTCCTATTATGAGCAAAACATATATCAAAATCTAATTTCAGGCGCGGATCCAGAAATTTTTTCCAGGGGGGGGGGGGTCCACCTCAGTCAAAAAAAAAATCCTAACCCAGAAATTTCTTGACAACCAAAAAAAAAACCCAAAAGTAAAAAATGTGTAAATATCGTGGGGGGGGGGGGGGGGGGGGTAGTGGTGACTTCTATTGCCTCAAATGTTTAACTTTTCATACCCATTTTACACATACTCGTGTTTACCAGGGGGGTCTGCGTTTTCCAAGGGGGGTCCATAGTAACTTTTTCCTTGTTTTAGTATATAAATTTTTTAACCTTTTTAATTCCCGGGGGGGTCCTGACCCCCCCCCCCCCCCGACAGATCCGCGCATGAATTTACATCATTAATAGAATTCAGACTGGTATATAATGAATTTAGCATGTATAAAATAAATATAAAAGGTTCTGAGTTATAGGTCACAGGGTCTGAGAATTTCATATTCAATTTGATGAATACATGTAAATTATAGAATTATTTTGACTTTTTCCTTGGAAAGCCGCTCAATATGTAGGAGCGTGTATTTAGAGGCAAACACCTTAGTGCGGGTATTACTGTCTCATGACAGCATCTAGTTACAATTATACTTGTCTGTTCCTATTCTTAAAATGTATGACGTGCAAAACTGATTTATTACATGTACATAGATTCGGTTTATTTATGTATATTTGAGTCAGGAGAACTATACATCAAAACTGCAGGTTCTCAGTAGGGCTATCCTAGATAAATTCTGAAACTTCTGAAAGGGCCAGCCCGAGCGCGTTCATAGTTTAAAATTTTCATTTTAGTTTCATTTCTTTTCGATTTTGGTTTCGTTTCGTTTGGTTTGATTTCGTTCTGTTTGCTTTCGTTTCGTTTTGTTTGGTTTCGTTTCGATTGGTTTCGTTTCGTTTCGTTTCGATAGGTTTCGTTTCGTTTTCGTTTTGCAGTTTACAGGTACCCTTATATTTCCCGATTTTTTTCCTTCTCATTTTGAAATATTTTTCAAATATGTTTTTCTTGAAGTGTAACATTGATCTCTCCCCATCCTACCATATTGGGACTGTGAAGAATTTAGAATCTAGAATTTCGAACTATCCGTCATTCTGGCCCAGAGGTTCCTGAGATTTTAATTGATTTTCCGTATTTTTATTCATCTTTATTTTCTCCATTTAGAAGGGGGCTTGCTCCTTTGTTTCTACAATTAATAAAGCTCTGGGTATTTTTGCATATGATAGTCGTGTAAACCTATCCTGGATACAATTTTCTGATCAAATGTCTTTCTCCTACAGTGCTACGAGTAATACTGCCTTTTGTGTTTGAAGGTGTGTGTATTTCTCTCGATCGATCGATCGACGCATGTGCCGATGCTTGAGTATACATATTTTCATCAACGACAGTGTGTGCAAATACGTGACTGTGCATTTCGTTCTTCATGCAGGCGGAAAAAAAATCGAGCTCATCTCGGCGAACATTGTTGCCGGCGACAAAAATTACCGATGGACGGCAATATGTGCATTGTGGGTTGCTTATATATTGTCTCCTACGACATTCACTTCGTGATTATTTTTTCTAAGTGAAAGATTTCACGCAGTATTTGGTTACTTGTGTAGTAAGACACCATCTGTCAAAATGTTTGCAAAATTCATGGCAAATATTGCATAGATGTTCCCCAAGCAAACATTTCTACGAGGGTTGTCCAAAAAGTTCGTGGACAATGACGTTTTTGTTAAAATAAATGGTTCTATATATATGCATCTATTGTATATCGAAACTTATTATTTTTTGTAATAAATCGGGGTCTTTAAAGATCGTAGATTGAGCGCACGGACCAATCTGACATTAAGCTAATTTCATTATAATGTCAAACATTTGGATTTTGACTTAACACATGTTTGTGGACACACACTACATTTCCTTTTTAAGGCGCAACACATGCACTTCCAAGTGCTAGCAATAATCTTTAAGGATAGATTATATTTTGTCAAATTTTTCAAATTCTAAACAATGCACAAAAATTTTATTGATTTTTTACAACATTATACACAAATACAGGTAGGTAGATTTGTGAAAAGAAGAAAATGGTTTCTAGTAAGAATTCAAAATAACCCCCGATAGAAAAAAAAAATAATGAATAAGCTGAAATTCTCTTTATCAACAAATTTCCAAAGTTATTAAAATTTGATATGGAATATGATACCACTAATTATTTACATTATATATATATTATTTAATTATTTATTTATTATTTGTATATTCATAGTGTAGACGAGTAAGTAGAGGAACAGTTAAAGGGTTTATACATAAAATCCAAATTTTCAAGATTTTGGAAAATTGCATATTCGTTGCAATTTGGCTGTCAGATCTTGACATACAACATATTTGATGTGGATTTAGAAAATAAATGGGATATATTAGGTGCTAGTATTCCTAAAAAGATAAGATTTAATATTAACATAAAGTAATAACTTTTTTAAAGTTTCATTTTTCATGTTAACATTTGTTTTAGAATATATGTTAGGTAGGTTTGGTCTCCAAAATGCCCATTGAAAATTAGCCATTAAAAAGGGAATTAAATAAATTATTATGGGGTAAAATGCTGGAAAATGGTCATTTTGAGCCATTTAAGGGGGAGGCCCCCCGAACACCAACCCATGAGAAAGGAGTGTACTCTTCCCATGCACGTACCTTCCCTGTTTAGCCCTGTGGTCCTTATAACCCACACATGAACATCTGGTTCCGCCACTACTGTGGAATAATTTTATTTGTTGAGGTCAATGTTCGTGGGTAGCCAGAAATTACCTGGTTCCCGGGGATGTAAATTCGTTGATAACATAAAACAAATGTTTGTCTATACATTCGTTGCGATGCAAATTCGTGGGTCAGAGTTACCCACGACAGCCACGAGCACTGGTCCCCCGAGAAAAATGATGATTCTACGGTAAATGGTTAGTCAAAGGTGTATTTGTGCGCGATTTTCATCAGGACATGTAGTATTCTAACCTTTTCAAATTTTACACTACAGCAATTTATACATTATTGCTATTGATATTTTACTCTTAAAATGCAAAATTTATTTAAAGGTTCGTTAGACATGAAGTATTTTTATGCTGAACTTCTAAGACAAAAATATCATAATAATGTTTATTTAAACTCCTGATAGAAACAACTATGGTTATGGTCAAAAATCATCAACAGGAAATGGAGGAGGTCCTTGTTAAAACCCGGGCGTTTGACAGAGCAAAAGAACTGTTAGAGAAAAATAGACATGTAGTGATTATCGGTGTACCTGGAGCTGGGAAGACAACATTAGCCATGTGCTTGTTGATGATTTCAATGGATGAAGGGAAACGACCTCTTCAAGTTTTTAAAATGTCTGAACTCTACGGACGGGTTTCGCCGTTTGACAACTTGGCGATATTCATTGATAATGCATTCGGGGAATCATCGTTTTCTTTAAACGACTTCAATGATTTTTCAAATAAGAAAAAAGTTATAGAATCGCTTGTTTACCCATGCAACAGTGGATTGGGAAATATACTGATTTTGACAGTCAGAAACGATATCTATTTGGAAATTGCCGCTAAACAGAAGAATTCCGATTTGCTGCTTTCATCCGTGATTGATTTATCAACTGGTGAATATGCTTTAGAATATAAAGAGCTCGTTATGTTTCTAAACAAGTATAAACTTCCAGGCAATATCAAAGAGGACTTGAAATTCAGACAGACCGGGTTATATTTACCCTTGGGATTTCCACAGTGCTGTAGACTAGCACATACGAATACTGATTTCGGAAAGGATCTTTCAAATTTTCTTCGTAGTCCTTCTTGTTTCCTAAAAGATTACTTTCAAACCCTGATGAGAGAAAGAGCTGTTAAAATGGCAGTGCTGATATACTTTCTGTTTAAAGGTGGAAGTGTGCAGTCCTCGCTGTTCTCTGTTCAGAAAGATCGGGAAATGAAATCCATTGCATTAAAAATGCTTGAATTAGGTACATGTACCGATATGCTTTGTAAATTTCACGAAAGCGTTCATGTCTTTGAAGGTTTTTTGACAATTTATGATAAAATCAATGATTCCTATTCCTTATCACATAGCTCAGTACAAGACATTTTATTACACATTCTGATTGGCCTTCTTCCCGAGAAAACAATCCTTCACTGTCATCCTATTTTGCTTCAAAGATTGACAACAAGTGCACATCTCAAGTGCACAAATATTAAGGTTGATACAGGATTGTTTGCATTTGTTTCAGGTAGGATTGTTCAAATCTTGAGAGATGGCTTGCCCGATGAATATGAATCTATTTCTTTGTTAGATATATGGAATGACAAAGCATTCTATGAATATATATTAGCGGATCAAGTCTGCAGCAATCTTTTAAAAGAAAGTGTTGATTCAGATGGAAACACATTACTGGTACATTTTGGAAAATCAGGGCACATCTGTTGGATAGAATATTTGTTACAAAGTAATTGTGATACAAAACAAAAGTATAGATCCCTTAATGCTGCATGCAGAGAAAATCATGTTAAAATCGTCGATCTCATTTTATCAGTTGATGTTAAATGTGATTTAAACACTTGTTTTTACGCAACACAAAGTGGGAATTTAGATTTACTATTGAAAATATGTAAGTATGTAGATTTGAATCAAACTAGTTTATCGCTTGTATGGACTGACACTTGTCATAGTTTAATCCAAGAGATAGTTTTATCACGTCAGATTCATTTAGTACAACCTTTACTTGAAAGATATCCACTAATGACAGATATCAAATCCACAGATGGCGACACGGTATTGCATTATGCATCAAGAATTGGTGAATTCAGTATAAGCAGGTACCTGGTAGCTAAATATCCAAAGTTAATTAACGTCAAAAACAATCAAGGGTACACAGTGCTACATTCTGGTTTTGTTTGTGGAGACAGGGAACTAGTTTCATTTCTGATAGAAAAAGGTTTGGATATTAATGCACTGACAAATGAAGGGGAAAGTGTTCTTCATATTGCATGTCGTAATGGTAAATATGATGCATGTGAATTCATTGTCATAAATTATCCAAAGTTAATTGACGTCAAAGACAATGATGGGTACACAGCATTGCATTCTGCTTGTGTCAATGGAGACAGAAAATTGATTTCATTTCTGATACAAAAAGGTTTGAATATCAGTGCACTAACAAATGATGGAGAATCTGTCCTTGATATTGCGTGCCTTAATGGTAGGTATGATGCATGTGAATTTTTAATCACTCATTTTCCACAGTTAATTGACGTCAGAAACAATAGCGGATACAAAGCATTGAACTCTGCCTGCGTAAATGGAGACAGAAAATTGATTTCTTTTCTGATAGAAAAAGGTTCGGATGTTAATTCAATGACAAATTCTGGGGAAAGTGTCCTTCATATTACATGTCTAAATGGTAAGTATGATGCATGTGAGTTCCTTGCCTCAAATTATCCACATTTAATTGGACTCAAAGACAATAAAGGATACACAGCATTGCACTTTGCATGCGTAAATGGAGACAAAAAATTGATTTCTTTTCTGATTACAAACGGCGTGGAAATTAATGCAAAGACAAATGAAGGGGAAAGTGTCCTTCATGTTGCATGTCGTAATGGTAAGTATGATGCATGTGAATTCATTGTCATCAATTATCCAAAGTTAATTGACGTCAAAGACAATGATGGATACACAGCATTGCATTCTGCTTGTGTAAATGGAGACAGAAAATTGATTTCATTTCTGATACAAAAAGGTTTGAATATTGGTGCACTAACAAATGATGGAGAATCTGTCCTTCATATTGCATGTCGCAAGGGAAAGTATGATGCCTGTGAATTTCTTGTAATAAATTATCCACACTAATCTGACCTCATTTACAATGAGGGGTACACAGCATTACACTCTGCTTGTGTAAATGGAGACAGAAAAATGATTTCTTTTTTAATAGAAAAGGGTTTGGATATAAATGCACTGACAATTGATAGAGAATCTGTGCTTCATATTGCATGTCTTAATGGTAGGTATGATGCCTGTGAATTCCTTGCTACAGGTTTTTCACAATTAATGGACATCAAAGACAATAAAGGGAACACAACATTACACTTCGCATGTATAAATGGGAATAGACGATTGATTTCATTTCTGATAGAAAAGGGTTTTGCTATTGATTCACTAACAAATGATGGAGAAAATATCTTTCATGTTGCATGTCGCAAGGGTAAGTATGATGCATGTGAATTCCTTGTAACAAATTTTCCCCATGTACTTGAAGTCAAAGACAATAAGGGGTACACAGCATTACACTTAGCATGTATAAACGGAGATAGAGAATTGATTTCATTTCTGGTACAAAAAGGTTTGGACATCAATGCATTGACAAATGATGGAGAAAATGTCCTTCATATTTCATGTCGAAAAGGTAAATATGATGCCTGTGAATTTCTTGTCATAAATTATCCATATTTAATTGACATCAAAGACAGTAATGGGTACACAGCATTGCACTTTGCATGCGTATATGGAGACAGACAGTTGATTTCATTTCTGATAGAAAAAGGTTTTGACATTAATGCGAAGACAAATGATGGAGAAAGTGTCTTTCATGTTGCATGTCGTAAAGGTAAGTATCATGCATGTGAATTCCTTGCTATAAACTATCCACATTTATTTGACATCAAAGACAAAGATGGGTACACAGCATTACATTCTGCTTGTGTAAAAGGAGACAGAAAATTAATTTCTTTCCTGGCAGAAAAAGGTTTGAATATAAATGCACTGACAAAATGAAGGGGAAAGTATACTTCATATTGCATGTCTTAATGGTAAATATGATGCATGTGCGTTCTTTGCCATAAATTACCCACATCTGATTGACGTCAAAGACAAAAATGGGTACACAGCATTGCACTTTGCATGCGTAAATGGAAACAGAAAACTGATATCTTTTCTGATAGCACAAGGTTTAGATATCAATGCACAGTCAGGTGATGGGGAAAATGCCCTTCATATTGCATGTTTCTATGGCAATACTGACTTGTGCAAATTCATTGTTGATATTAACCCACAGTTACTTCATGCAAAAGAACATTCTGGTAGTACTGTGTTACATGCCGCAGCATTAAGTGGAAATCTAGAACTATTTCAGTATTTGGTCAATGCAGGTTTGGATGTGCATTGTATGACAGAGGACGGCAGGTCAATTGTTGATTTCATCGAAAAAAGCAATATTTGTTTGAATGAATATTTGGAGAAACATTACCCTCAATTATTCCGCCGAAAAAAAAGGCAGAAAAATTACATTTTTAATAAGAGGATATGTCTTCTTTCATAACTGCTTAAATTATTCAAAATAATGAACTAGTGTTATAGTCAAAGGACTATATATGATCAGAGACAAATTTGGCCTCCTAAAAATCAACATTATAGGATGATGTTCAGATATGTTTAATATTTATTATTTAGAAGAGATTATATTAAAAATGTTTCCAATATATTTTTCACATTTATATGCACTCACTGGCTGTTACATGTAATGACACGTTAAATAGTGCTATTTTGACTATCTAACCAAAAAAGCAAATAATATGCCTTTTTCTTGATGTTTTTTTTTTTCCTGATAGAAAACATAGAGCGCAGTGTAGAACATATATAATCTTTCAATCACCAATTAGTATTGGATACTCCTTTGGTAAAAATATAAAGTTTTTTCTAGTCTGCGTTCAATATTTTCTGGAAGATAAAAATTGAAAATAAGCAGTTTTGTACAAAATATGCTAAAATTGTGGGAAAACGTGAACTTTATGATATCATATTTCTAAATTAACAGCAAATTTATCAAATTCAAAATGACCGATAAAGGTCTCAAGTGTTGCTGTACAAATTAAATCTTTAGATAAAGTAAAATTACTATATTCATTTTAAGGAGTAATTTGAGACATTTATCATTTATTGCTCTTTATTTCTGCTTTTATTAGTTTTTTTTTTTTTTATACACGTAGACCATTTCAATTGAAGTGTCGGAAATAACATGAATTGTTAAGACGTTTATTATTCTAGTCACTTTTTTTCAGTTATATCCCGTATAAGACACGGACTTACCTTCATGTAAATAATATGTAAATGTTAACATTTCTTTGTAATATTTTACAGCAAGATTTGTTTTATAATATACTTGTATGTATTTCTTATTCTGATACAGAGATGGTATATTTATTTGTGCGTGTGTGTGTGCTGATGGGCCGGTTTTACATGTACCTACTTCTTCGTAATCTCAGCATTACTAACGAAAAACATGTATTTATGAATGTAAATGTGTTTTGATACCCACATGTTTTAATTTTACATGTTTTACAGAAAATTTAATGTTAGTAAATTAACTTATTATCAAAGATAATTAAATAAATGTATTGACATAATTGCTTTAGATTCCCTTTTCTCTCTGCGAAAGCAAAAACTCTAATAAAGGCAACAAGGCCAAAATATAATACACTATCGACATCTGATTTACACCACTTCTTGCATATATTGTTGCACAATACTCTTGAAGTTTCTTCTTCACTACTGTTAATATCTTAGTGAGAAGTAAAGAAAGAGGCTTGGTTGAACATTTCCTGGAACCAGCTATGTATATTTGTTTGTAAGGATACTTGTAACATTTCGGAGGGCTGTTTGGGAATTATTGAGACATGGTGTATATTTTTCTTTCTAATGAACGTCTTACCGTGCAAATTTGCATATACGTTTGACAAATATTTGGATTCAAAAAGGTAAGAAAAGGTTTACAAATATTAAATTTCTCCTCTTCAATGGTATATATAATTATGTGTCAATGGTACGGGTACCCGGCGCAGTCACGAAATCAGATATTCAAAATATGTAACACCAACGTTCAAGCTCCTGGTAGACTCCTAATAAGAGGAAAAATAATCCAATTTATGTATTATATCATTTTTCAATTTTATTTTGACTTCATTTGGGCAAGTTTGTTAGAAATTCGATCGGAAATACAGAGATCATGAAAAATCAAAACGCGGGAAAGAAAAATGGATTTTGACGTCAAGGACGGAGCAGCAAGCTTGCCTTAAATTTTCTGTAACGCTATATAGAACTCGAAACGTAACTGTAAACGCTGGTTTTAATAACAACGAGAAGTTGGGTTCAATTTCACCAATGTATTAATACAGGTCATGTTTTTCACAAACAAAAGAGTTTTGTAAATAAAATATTTAATATATAATACACAGACAAACACACATACACAAACATAAAACATAAAACACTGAATATTCTGCTCAGGGAAATAATTCCATTTTCCGAATAACTTCAAAGGATCATAAATATCATTTTATGCATTATATTATGCAAAATCATCATCATAAAATACTTTACTTTCACCATAAACATTTCCTTTCATAGTATTCAAATGAAATTCTATTTACAACACAAATAGACATCACAATAAACACAAACTTTACTAAACACAAATCTTTCCAAATATATGGTATATGAACCTAGCTCAGATCTGTATATTCCCTTCTTAGTCAGTCATAGCTATAATAATAATTAATCACAAAATAAGTCTGAATGATTTTTGACAAATTATGTATTTTAAAATTTCATGAAAAATAACTCTTTACTCAAATCTCATTTATTTAACTTTCACACTTCATGCTCATAATAAATAATGTTAAAATGTTAATAAACTCACCTGTTTAGTATATTGTCCAATGTCCATAAGGTCTTATTCAGAATTGTCAAACTGTAGAAATCAATAATTTTTGAGACAGTCAAGTTTAAGGATCTTTTTGAAAGTGTCTAAAAATTTTATAGTAGTAAACTTCTCACCAGAGTATCAAATCAAATACCTCGGTTCATCCATGCATGAATAGCATGCTTGACCAAATGGGAAACACTATGGAAAAACCTTAGTGTGATAATTGTATACAATCGCTCCTACTTAATACTTGGTATGGAAGTACATTATGGACAAATATTAAAAACAATAATTCAGATAGGTTTTTATTTAGTAAAACTTTTATTGATAAAAACACGCGGTCACTTAACGACCTCCTAAAATAATAGCAAGGCGAAAAGACATATCTAATGGTTTGTAATGTCATTGGTATTTATTTTTTTCTTAAAATTAGGGAAACCAGAGTAAAATCAAAAGCCCCGGACCATTAATGATAACAGCATTACATGTAATAGCGTTGACCCGCGTTGCATATATAAATTGCACTGCATGATGCAAAGTCATCCTGTCCAACACATGAAATATTTTTTACTGAGTCAGCAGTTGCACATATTTTTACTAAAGCCCTAGAAGGGCATGAGTTATCTAAAACGATGCTACGTCATCGATTTACTCAGTTTTAAATCACGCAATTATAATATTTCTAAAAACAAAATGGAAGTTTATCGTGAAAACGTCTGTATATTCATAGATATTTAGTGTTAAATGTTGGATTCTATTCTATGGCGAAAAACAATGTGTGAAGCTCCGCAGCAACAACAGTTTCTATACAGAGATTTTGCGGTTTCCTTTGCGTAGGGATCTCAGGTAACTTTCAGTCGCCGACGAAACATCCTTGGGCGAGTCTACTGGTGACTCTGAAAGGTGACGCAGGTTACCCCATCGTTAGCAATTGTCTATCTTTGCAAAAAAGCCCCCCCCCCCCCGTTCTGACGCCTTTGTGGTGATGTACTCTTTAAGCAAATAAAAAAAATACAGAAAACGTATTTTGTTTGAAGAATATTAAATGTCTACATTAAATGTCTACATAAATAACTGAATATTTCATTAAATTAAGAAACGGAAACTATCCTCTATAAAATATTCCTGAAAGTGTGTAACATAAATTCATCTTAAAAAGCAGTACGATTGATTATATCTATTCTAACTAAATTCAATATATGAATATTGTTTCATGTACATGTATAATTCAACAGGAGATTGAACTTAAAATCCCTCTTTTTATACCATTTAAGGATATTAATTAATCACACTTTCTAGCTGACTTTCTACATATGAAACTGTTGTGAAACTTCTACAGCTCTGACGTTTTGTGAGTATATACTTGTTTTTTAAATCGTTAAAGAAGAGAGACAATTTGATTTTTGTAATGTTATATTTGATAACAAGGAAAAAGAGAAAACGCTTCCCGATCATTTCATTTTAGAAAACATCTCCGGCTGACGTGATGTTAAAATGACGTAGCGATGCTGCGTTTCGTAGACATATGCATGTTTATAATTTTCACCGGAAATTATCTAATTATCCTAGAAATTAGAAAATTTGCGAAACTATTTAATTCGTTCTTCGTGAAATGTCGACCTATTTTCATGAATTAATCTCTGTCCTTTATGGAGTAAAGGTAAATGCCTGAATAATTTCCGAAACAGCAATATATATGGTAGTGCAAAATCATTTTCGTTCTTCGGAATATTAAAAATATTCAAAACCGATATATGATTTTGAAGAATTTCCTCCTTAGAAAGGGAACTGTGAGTAAGTTGGATTACTTCTTGTAGAATTAAATTCAAGTTCTCAAGTTCAATTTTTCACTCACACCAACATCAGTGGTACATGTACATGAGGTACAGGATATAAATTAGTTGCCATAATTGTGAAAAAATAAATATAATTATGATACAATAGCATAAATGAGAGGCATATACATATGTTTGAAGTTAAGCAATAAACATACAATGAAAATAAGTATAAAAAGAGTGTAACGGCATTTAAATTATGGAGGATTGACAGTGTCGTTTATTTTAGATATGAAAATAAAAGGTTTCAAAGATTTTAAATGTGTGGTTTGACATAATATTCAGAAAATTTAAGCGTATTTGGCGTTTTACAAAATCTGGGATGTAAACAAATTTTTAATTACTGATGCTGTTCAATGTTTTGCATTCTAAAATAAATTTAAATGAGTTTCGTCTGCTATTTGTCCTGTATTACATGCTGTACAATCTCTTTTATCCAATGGAATATATGACCATTCACGAGTTTCAATTTTGAGGCGATGGTTTGAAATTTTATTATTATTAATTTTTTAAGTTTACTGGGTAAAATACTTCTAAAATACAATTTATATGATGAGCATTACAAACAAAGATAATGATGTTACCTGCTTTATCAGCAGTCACCAGTACGTTCTGATCATGTAATCTATCTAGTTGTTTTTTCACATCTGGATTACAGAAAACAGAAGGATAGAAGGTATTCATATTGCCCCTCGATCATTCAATACGCGCTTTTATTATAGATCTGATACATTTAATCCATTCTGAAAAAGTGCCAACGTCTTCTTTTTGCATATTTTCCCCATCACCGGGCGTAATCTTCAACCGAATCCATAATATTTATTAAATTCTTACGCCAGTTGAAGGATCCGGATTCCATTTATTTAGGACCTTTTATAATAAGCAATTAAATTAAGGTCCTCATTATTAACTATATTTGCCTCACCTAAAATAACGTGTCCAGTGAGACTATAGTTATAGGGTGAAGAACATGAACACGATGGAAAGTTATGTATATGTACTCGGTATCCAGGCCATGTAAAGTTTTTTTTTGTAATTTTGAGGCAATGGCCGATTTATATCGAAGTCTTAAAATATAGTGGAATACAAGACTGGACCCTATGGTGATTAAGAATAATACTAATATTAACTGCGTCAATTCCTTTATTGGCATATTGAAGTTTAAGAAAACGACGGGTTGTTTTACTAGCATTTTCTTCAGTAAAACGTGGGGGCTAAAAAGCCTATGATTTGCAATATCCATAACACACGGCACAAATACGTGTGGCGCTAATTCTTGATTACGACAACAATTTAATATTCCTTCATTGCGCTTATTTTTGAGTACACCAACATATGTACGCGTACAGTATATTATATACAACCCTGTTTAATAAAATGATTTATACTGTTCAACTTGTTATAATCATATTTAAAGTGATATTGAGAGTTTAAATTCAAATAACGCAATATGCATATTTCTTTCGGATTTTGGCGAAATACAGTTCTGTTCTGACGTCACATTCGACAATTGTTTCAGAGAGATATGAGAAGTTACAGTTGCACGTCACCCTATGCAGAATCACCAGGGCTTACACCTCTATCATTACGACATCAGAAACCACCCCTCCAGTTACAACATTAACCACTTGACAGCAGCTACTGCACCAGACGTTCCACCCATCACATCTCAGACAGCATGTGTATCCCTTGGCTCGTCTCCGTCTGCAACTTCTTCAGTCACTTCAGCATCAACTGCAAGCCAGTCTGAGTCAGGAAAAAGCATTTCAATCACCAGATTTCGTGCAGCCAATCCATAACACTCTAATTCGTGTAACTGATGATTTGACGGCACATGTTCCACAGAAAATAAAAGAATAAATCTCTGCTAAGAAATAAATAGAATTGTCAAAAGTTATGCTGTCAGAAAGTGACCCTCAAAATGAACAAAAATTCTCAATTGTTGATGGTCAGTTAGTTATACAGCCAAAGCAAAATACAAAGAAAATTACTTCCATTCAAATGTGGTCTGATGCATTCTTGATATTTGCAGGTGTCTGTTTGACAAGGCATCCAACCGACATCCAAGGCATCCTCAAGTTATTAGATTAGCGGCTAGTCGTTATCCTACAGGTGGTTGGTAAGAATACGATAAACAATTTAGACTGAAAATGTCCAAGAATACTCAGTACGTCCTTAGCTTTGAGGTCTATAGATGTTGAATTATGGTTATTAAACATGTCGAATCACATGCAAAGTTAAGAAACAAACTCTTCTTCAGTGAAATGTTTTGACTTTAACTTTAAAGGCTCCTATGCTAGACGGTCGTGCAACTACCAGCATGCTTGCATGTATTGTCAAAAGAATCACCCCCGAATCATTGTCGGTCAAACTTAGAAAATTCCCCATCACCAACTGTTAGGCAAAATTTTAACCAAATGCACTACAATCAAATAAATCAACCTTCTAAATCCAATTTTCGTTTCTAACAGTCCATAAGTAGATCAAGGTAATTCTACCAAAAACCAAGCCATATGGGCCCTAGGTTCAACACCTATTAAACCCAACATACTCCTAGCATACCTTCTCTAGTAAGCAGACAGATCATTATGTTATCTCGGGTTTACGCATTGGTTTTCTTTAAAATATTCGGGGCTTAGGATTTCTCTCCAACCTAAGAACATGAAATCGGCAGACTCTCTGAATTACTTAAAATAATAGATAAAAAAGTACAAATAGATCTAAATAGGTCCATTGCCCCCCTCTATCATATTTACGGTGCAACCCAGTTGGGATCGTCCCTAAAAAATGAGGGATGGAGGTTAATAACTAATCTTTCAGTCCCTATAGGTAATACTGTAAATGAATTCATTGACCCCACCTCATGCTTGGTATCATATGCCTCTTTGGATCAAGCAATTGAAATAATCCAAAAGTTGAGAAAGGTGCTTTGATTGGTAAGATGGATTTGTCAAAAACTGCTTTTAGGTTTTTGCCATTAAGTCCCTCAGAATTTTGCCTTTTACGTCTTCGTTTTCAAGATAATTTTTATATAGATAAGTGCATGCCCTATGCATGCTACGTTTGAAAAATTCTCATCAATACTTCATTGGATTGTCAGTCAGAAGGCCAAAAATTCAAATAGCATGCATTCCTTAGACAATTTTATTTTTGCGAGTTCCAAAGATACTTCAGATTGCTCAAATATATCTAAAACATTTCAAGAAACTTATCAGGAAATTGGGATCCCAATTAATTCAAATAATTGAACGCCCAAACACTTATTTGATATTTCTTGGTCTAGGCATAAATACAATAAGCAAAACCATGCTCATTCCAGAGCACAAGCGTAAAGAGTATAAACTTGCTCTGTTGTCAATCATCAATTCTAAAAAGTCACCATAAAGCAAATGTAAGTCACTGAGTTTTTTCGCTAAAGCTCTACCTGGAAGCAGGGCATTCAGCCGAAGATTTTACAATGCAACTATAGACATAAAAAAAATCCTACCATTTAGTAAAGATTACTTCGGGCATGAAAGAAGATGCTTAAGTTTGGATTGATTTCTTAGAAACCTACAATGGGCCATCCCCTTTCCCAGATTTGGTTTGGTCATCAAACGATAGTCCTAATCTTTTTACAGATAGATGTGGATCTTGTGGTGGGTGTGTTTTTTTTTTCAATAACCACTGGCTTGTTATTCCATAGCCATGCACATGGGATGAGAATACCCTTTGAGATATTACCTACATTTTGTACCTTGATATCGTTTCAATACTATGTGCTATCTGGACATGGCCTGAGCATTTTGCAGCAAAAAAAAATTATTTTAAATACTGATAACATTGCTCTGGTTTATATTTTAAATTCATAGTATAGCCAAGCTAGCAGAGAAATTATTGAAACTCTTAATCCACATGTAGATTCTATACTAAATGCAGAAATTTCAACAAATACAACTTAAGCTTATCGCAGGAGTTTAGAATCATTTCAGGCATTTCGTAACAAATACTCCTTATCATTGTTATGGCCACCTCCTGTTGACCAGCTTATCAACTATATAGCTTACCTCGCAGCTATTCCTATGGCACATTCAAATGAACGATGCTGTATTAGTGTCATTAGTTATGAACTCCAAATACTTTCTCAAACCAATGCTACTAAAACATTCATCGTTAAAAATATGCTCGAAGGCTTGGGTTCTAAAGACACTCCTTCCCCAACTGCAATGTCTTTGCTTAATCAAATGACAACATGTCTCCCATCAGTTTGCTCAAACTCATATGAAACGACTTTGTTTATCCTGGCATTCCACTTAGCCTTTTTGACCTTCTAAGGATTAGCGAGTTTACAGTTTCAGCAAAAAATTATTTGTTTTGGCCCGCAATGATGTTAAGTTAAATTAAACCAAATTCAAATTGAAATACATTGCAAATGAGATTATGTATAATTCACAAAACTTATTTTATTTCTATGCTTTAATTATTAATTCTTTGTCTGCGTTGAAAAAGTTCACTTGACTTACTTTTCACAATTTTAACATTGGTCATAACTTTTGAATGAGAAGAGATACTGTAGGGCTTTCATATTACACAAAAATCACGTGTACGTTACCTGTGATAATTAATCTTTTCAAATTCTAGTATATAATGAACTTTGACCTTGAAGTTTAACCTGTTTTTCTAAAATTTCAACATTGTTTAAAATTGACCATAACTTTTGAAAGGGTAGCGCTTTCATACCTAGTGTTACACATGTATATTAGCTATGATAAGACCTATCGAAAAAGGTATTGCTTATATCATGCCGAGTGTGTCATGGCCTTGAATTAAGGTCATTTAGGATAAGATGTCTTTGCTGGATGCATTGTCTGAAAGAACATGTTTGAATTTGTCAATACGGTAGCACATAAATGGGATATGCTCATCACCAACGTGTGTCATGGTGTGACAATGGTCTTTTTGACAAGGTCAAGGTCACAAACATTCCTTTGCTATCTTCTTTAACAGTAGAACATTATAATATGATATCTCCTTTAAAAGATTGCTTTAACATTAGAATGTGGCATGACCTTGACTCAAGGTCATTTCTGCCTGTCCACAGCTCTAACGGAAGACCTATTCGTTGCTTTGCAACGAGCTCGCCTCTAGTTATATATCAATTTCTATTCTTTGTTTCTGAGTTTTACATTTATTGCTAATACGTACATTTTTCTCCCTTGTCACAGTCATATTATTATTTTCATGGACTTGGAATCCGAACAGAACCAAAGAAAAATACGAGAACAATAATTTTTGCATAAATTGAGTCGACTAATGAGAATAAATCAAAGAAATAATCCGAACTTGCAAAAGAATAGTATTTTTAATATGTTTCGTTTGGTGGTTCTTTCGCATTTCTGCAATGCATTCCTAAAAGAATTTTGGGTGTCAATGCAAGATTTAACATCAGCAATTATATACGAGTTTTTAAAGCACAAGAAGTCATTTACATCGCGCGGCAATAGAGTAAATTTCATAATTATAAAAACCGAAATTTTCTCACAAACATATGAGTTCGTTCCAGTTAAAGAATTTGTTGACACCCAAAATCGAGACTACAACATGGAGGGGGGGGGGGGTGTTGGTGGTGGTGTTGAAAATCCTTTCTAAACACATGTAAGAAAACCAAAGTAAAATGGCGATATTTTTTTATTTTCATTTATTCTGAGTAATATCAATGCTCTGTTGTGTACATTTTCTTAGAGAAAATAGCAAGTACATCTGCTTCTCCAGAACCCACAAGGTACACAAAATCCATAACGAAGTCCTCCGAGTCTACACTCTGCGGAGCACTGGCGTCTGGTGCAACCCCTCCTACACGAGTAGTCTTGACTGACAACGGGATCGACCACTCCCAGTGATAGAACACACAGCACAAGGATCAAGACATACGTCCTCATCTGAAACATAAGGTAACTACTGAGAGTACACACAGCACAAGGATCAAGGCATATGTCCTTATCTGAAACATAAGGCAACTACTGAGAGAACACACAGCACAAGAATCAAGACATACGTCCTCATCTGAAACATAACGGACAAAGTTTCACATGTAATCTGTACTATAACATTCTGCATACTATCATACTAATACTGAACGTTCTATTTTAGTACGATTTGTATCATTTGACTGCCTGTCTCTCTTTGGCACACATTTGCAAAAAATGCAAAGATCAGAAAGACGTATAAGAATGTAACATATTTCTGAGTGATAAAAAATGTTCACATTCCTTTTTATATAATGAAAGGCATTTAATAAGATAAACAATCATTGGTCTTTTTTTATAATAAAATTTAATGAACAAGGCATAAATTAAATCACCGACTCTTATAAATGTCAGAAGTAAAATAAATTACCGAGCACCTCCCTCTCCGCCGTCAGCCAGCCACACACGCCATGAACCATATATTTGATCAGTTAAAATAATCTGAAGCCAAGGAGTCATTTTCACTTTTTGCATAAAATGGCCCTGTTCTTAAATTAATGAATTACCTATCACCCTCTTTCCCACTTCATATACCAAAATATTGTCGAGGCTTGGAGCTTTCATACCCTATAATAAAACATATTGTTGAATATCCAGATATTGAAAAACAGGCTTTGAGAAATTGCTATGTTCTTGAAACTTGCATGAAACCTGTTAATTTGAATGCATTCAGCAAAGAATTTAAATATTAGCACAGCCGTCGTTCCAAAAACTAAAACGTCTTTTGATCTTCAGAAACAGGTCTTACACAATGAAATTACATATTTTGGGGAGATTGTGCTCTATCTGAAATATTAAAAAAAAAATTCAGCTTTAGTCCATTTTTCAAAGGAATTTACAGGATGTGAGGAAAATCACATATTTCATGACGTCATAATGCATTGACTAGAAGGAAAATTACAACAAGTTCGATAGATACATGGTCACCAACAATCCAAGTGATAAATACTGCATTATCAACCTAAACTTCGCAGTTTTGATTTTTCATAAATTCTCAGGGCCAAAAAAGGCCCTAAGTGGCTTTTTTCTTTGTAGATTGTAAGAATGAAAGCCATAGAAATGGGGACTAAATTTAATCAGTTTTTTTTATATACATGAAGTGTCCTTAAGTGATTAAATTCTTGCATCTTTAAATTTGTGATTACCTTCCATTGTAAATAAGTACTCATTCCGTTCACATACTGATTGATTGAATCAATCTCTCTGAACCATAAAAATTTCGTTCTTGTTATCGTTCATGTTATGATGTTTTATCAGAGAGAGCCATTTATTGATACCTTTTAGCCAAAATTTATTACACTGCAATAAAATCTACATTTTATCGTCAACTTCCTTTATATTTGTGATATTTTTGTATAAAGCCTACCTTATTTCTATGAATAAACATTCACAAGTTGCATTCATATCACTTTCAATGAAAGTTCTCTTGCATGAAGAATTCATATCCACAAACAGCCTACGATTGCCAACGCAGGTAAACCATGTGTATTAATAGATTTACCGCAGTGTTTTAAATGTCACACACAATGTGGTATTATTAGTTAACTTGTCGATTAAAAACTTTGAAATATGATAACAGAAAATAATAGTGGTTTAATATTTATGTGTTTAATAAATGCCTTAAAGGTCACATAAAATGGTTTTAAACTCTGGGATTTTATATTATGTTTTTTTTTAAACATTAAGAAGACTGTTATAAAAGAATTTCAAATTACTACTAAGCTTTTTTTTTTAAATCTACCTTTACTTAACTGAAAGCTGTTCCACTTGATTAATTTAAATTGTTACCACGTTATCGTTCTAGATTTTGTGTTTCTTTGACGTAGCAAAGACCAGATGATGTAAATAACGCATTATATGTTTTGTAGGTGCTGATAAGTACGAAAGCCCAGAAGGCTCATTCGAGATTCGAGATTCGAAATTCGAGATTCGAAATTCGAGTTTCGAGATTCAAGAACCAGATTAACAAATCAAAAGTGGGTTAAACATTTGATTACTTCCCTTTATTATGATTTTAATATCAAGAAATCGTTTAATATATTTATAACAAATGAGTCATTTGATTAAATTACAATACAAGAAAGAGTGTTTATAATATATAAGAAGGCTATTTAGATAATCATTGGATTTTTGATCAGCAAGATTTACTTCAATTTATATTATGGCTTCTTAATATAATATCAAAGTCCATTTTCTACTTCTTTTTTCACTTCTGGATTCCCAAATGAAATAAATAAGATGAATAATCAAATATGAATTTGAATATTTTTTAAAATTTTGTTTATCTTTTTAAAAAATGGAAAATCTGTTTTGATTTTCATAATGTAAACATGTGAAAATGATAAGTTCAGTTATTCAACTTGTTTTCAAACAAGACGAACGACACGAAAATTTTTAAACATCTGAAATAATTTTCATATTTGTTACTTTTTCAAAAGAATTTTTTGCATTCCTATTATACAATATTATATTAGACTTTTTAAAATGCAAAGAAAAAAGAAATAAAAGTGCCAGTAGATGAACGTGCTCTGAATATTGTTTCTGGGAACAGACAATTCGGCAATTTTGATTAAATTATACTTTGTTTCAAATTTTCCTTTAAATATCTTTTATAAAGCCATAAAAAATACATTTATAACCATTTTTCATAATTTTGCATATTTTTTTCAGCGGAGTCATTTGGCTAGACTTTTTATAAAATAGACATATCAATATCTAAAAAGTAAATCAAATTTTAGCATCTTTTGATATTAAGGTAGGATTCTTCTCATATTTCTTGTATTTAAAAAAATAATGAAATTTTCACAGAGTCAAGAAGACAATATCACTAAGTGATGGTTTCAGTGAGATTAAATTTGACCGTTTAGTATTAGAGGCAAGGTCGGGTCAAGGTCATTATCTTTTTCCTGGACATTAAGAATAAAAAAAATACTGTAGATTCCTTATTTTTTGCGAGTACTTATTGTCGCGAATGAGCTCAAATCGCGAGAACAATAATTCGCGAATGGACGGTTGGTCAAGAGATTTTACTTAGATTGCAGCACCATAAAAATAAAGGCGAGTAATTTTATTTCGCGTGTGGTGCTTCTCGCGAAATTACGCGATAATTAATTCCACGCGTATATTTAGGAATCTACAGTACTGTTTCCAATAATGCGATCGCTGCTTGTAATTCAAAAGATTGAATGTTTTTCTTTTTGCATAAAATCTTACTACAATATAGGCCTATAAGATGATATTACATGTATTAAACTGACAAAAATAATTTAAATAAAGTGGATATTTGCTAAATCGAATTTCCTCTACTTTTCTTAAATTTTTAGGATACATTACTTATTTTTATATGCTTCCTATAGCAACTTTTTCCCATTTTCATATATAGTAAAGTTTTCACATAAAGGTACTAAATGATATAAAAATTAAAAGTTTTGATCGTTTACTAAGAGAGAAATAACACTTCTTACGAATTTTTGTCTCAAATCTGTATTTATATTTAAAGCATTTAAAAGCCAACATAGTTCTAGTATGTGTGAAAAATCTTATTCATTTGATATATTTTGAACTTTAGTCCTTTATAATTAATTTGACTTACATTTGAAAATTTCTTCTAGCCTTTAAATGCATAAAAATTATTACTAAATTCAATGTTCTATAATAATTTTGAGAGACAAAGAGAAGATATTTTCATACGCCACCATTCCGCCAAAACTATAGTTCCTGCTAGTTTTCAAACCAGTTTATCATTTCTATTTAAAGTTGTACAGTTATGGTGAGGAAAGAATAAGATGATCTTTTAAATCTCTAACACATCTAAATATATAAGACATACATGCATATTCATTAATTCATCTATTCAGAAACTAGAGAAGAATCCTACCTTAACACAAACCTTTTTAAATGTGTCATAAAATGCATGTCATAAATTTTGTTAGATTAAAAATCGTAATACATGTACCTGGTTTCTTCTCTTCTACGTTTAAGGACCCTCTCTTCACCAGTGCAAAATGTTTTTGGACATTGAGAAAATATATGCAGTTGACATCAAAAAAATATATGAAGTTGACATCAAGAAGATGCTTGAGTTTCTGATTGACAATATCTATGTGGTTTTTGGAGACCAGGTATTCCAACAATCTATTGGAATTCCCATGGGTACAAATTGCGCTCCGTTATTAGCAGACTTATTTTTATATTCATATAAAGCAGAATTTATGCAAAATCTTTTGCGTGAAAAGAAAACAACACTTGCTGTGGCCTTCAACTCGACATTTAGATATATCGACGACGTATTGTCAATTAATAATGATAATTTCCATTCCTACGTCGACACGATATATCCTGGTGAGCTTGAGATAAAAGATACCACAGAGTCCAACACATCTGCTTCATACTTGGATATTTTACTTGAAAAAGACACAAATGGTAATCTAACAACCAAGCTATATGATAAACGTGATGACTTTAACTTTTCTATCGTCAACTTCCCTTACTTATGCAGCAATATACCTTCATCACCTGCATACGGAGTATTTATATCTCAGTTGATTCGATACGCAAGAGCATGCTCTACGTATGAACAATTTCTTAAACGAGGTAAATTATTGACAAGCAAGTTGATGAAACAAGAATATCAACAGTCTCGTTTAAAGTCATCATTTCGTAAATTCTATGGTCGATACAATGACCTTGTCAGCAAATACAATTTATCATTGAATGAAATGCTGACTGACGTTTTTCATACCAATTGTTAGTCCATTATTTATACACTGAATTGACTACGGATTTTTTCCGTTATTTCCTGATTATGACAATGAGCACACGGCGGGTGTGACCGGTCAGCAGGGGATGCTCACTCCTCCATGGCACCTGATCCCACCTCTGATGTTTCGGAGGTCCGTGTTTGCTCTGCTCTTGTTTTGTATATTTGTTTAATGGACGTTGAGATTGAATACTGTTCGTTATTTCCATATCCTTATGCAATAAAGGTGTTAATATTAACCTTCAATTAATTTATTATCACTAGATGGTACATGGCAATTACCGCAGGAAAAAAAAATCAATTACAACACAGTATCAGTGAAAAGAAATCACTGTTGTTTACTTCCACGGGGAAAGTACATGTAAATAACATGTCCAATAAATTAGTCGTGCCCTTTTAAAATGTAAAGAATACTTGAATTGATTACAATTTGTTTAATGTGCAGTGAATTTCTATTTTTCAGAATTTAGATCTAAGGGCAGTCAATCTAATTGCAAAGAAAAAATTCCATAGAATCAGAACTCTTAAGAGTGCAGTGAAGAGAGGGTTCTTATACAAAAATGAATTCAAACATATTTTTAAGCAATTTCCGATCTAAAGCATTATGCATGTACGAGGCTCGGTTAGAAATTTAAATTCAATTGATCTCAGATAAACTGCCTTACCTTTTTTGAAGTCAAGTTGAATTTCAGATAAAAAAAGAATCAACCAATTTTTTTCTTGAACACCTGTATTTTACAGACTGTTCCTATATCTATTTCCATTCTTTATTTATAGGCGAGATCCATGCATTTGATTGGCTGGAAAATATTTTGAAAACAAAAAATAATTCCATAACCTTGAGAGATCTTGAATTTGAAAACAAAATAATTCAAACGTCTTCTTTTAAATTATCCTGATCATCAACAAATCCATCTTAAATTGATAAAAATTGAAATTTATGATTTTGCAAATCTATAATCTTTGTTTATTTAACTTAGTTAAAAACCGATCGGTAAAGAAGGAGATAGAAGTCAACATATTTATTTATTTAAAACAAGTTAAAAAAAAACCATGCAATTGGTAAACATATAGAAGTCAAAATATTCACTTGTTCAATGTTGGTTATCTGCTACCTTTTTTCTAGCAGATAAAGTTCAATAGTAATTATGATTAGAGAGTTGTTTATATTTTTTCTCGCCGTTTTTATATGCTCAGAGTTCTCCATGGGTCCTTTTACGTGGCGGCCCGCCCCAGTCAAATTCCTTAGCGCCACATTTAAATAATCAGCGCCATAGTTCCACCACAATTAAAATATTAGCGCCACAGGAAAGTCGTCGATGTCAGTACGACAAATATTATTATTTTTCAATCAAATAAACTTATAAACCTCAGAATTATGTACCGTTTACAGTTTCTAATGCTAAACTGTTAATAAACTCTAATTACGGCACATTGTTTGGCTTGCACAATCAACTATCTTCTCGACCTCACTGGGCACATGAAACCGTTTTTTCACACTTCACGATAATTACAAAGGGAATTTGAACTATCAATTAGTTCATGCTTAAAAATTTCTACAGTTATTCATGTCTCTAACGTTAGACTTGCAATGCGACTCAAAACATTGTATTTGTCGTGTGTAGCCTACCAGAATTGCCTCTGAGGATTTTAATGAACACTGCATGTGTATATTTACCTTTTGAAAATAATCTTTTGTTAAATAAGGGTTAAATACTTAAAACATAGTATTTAATACTGATACTTTTTTCAGATTCTATGAGCAAATATCTATTTATTTAGTACTTATATGTCTGCATAGGAAAGGGGGTGGTTGACTCATTCACAGTATATATCATATTGTTGAATTAATTTAACTTTTGTTGTACACTATTTTAAATCGATATTATTTTTGAAATTACTATTCTTAAATTCATCAATCATTTCCCCAAATAATTGATGCTATTTGTATTTGAATATTGATTCATAGGTACTGTGGGGTTTTCAATTAATTATGGGATTCCTTCGCGAATTGGTCGCCAAATGACTGCGAATATTAGTACTTCGCGCAATTCTTGCGCCACAGTTGAATTTGAAATAATGGAGAACCCTGATGCTATTAACATTTTTTTCTCGTTATTTTATATCAACATTGTTTCAGTTTGTTTTGAGTTTGTTCTAAAATGCATTAGGAAATTTTGTAGTCAGTGGTATATTCGTTGTTAAAATTCCAATTAAAATAATAAAAATCTGACTTTATGTTATTACTGATAAAAATCTTCATTGTCCCGTGGTTTACCAGTAATAAAAAGTCCATATTTTTCATTCTTATTCACTCATCGGTTATATTTTTTCTTAGATCTCTCTTGCTACGTTACGTTAGAAACTGCAAAAAAAATCTGTTCAGGTATTTCATTTTATGATAGTCGTTGTGATTTTATTTTTTGAGTGAATTCCAACAATCGTCTGTCTAATTGTATTCCGACGGGTGTTAAGCATTGATTGCCTGTTAAGTATCAACATCATAATCAGTATCATCAACAGTATCAACAACGAAGGTACAATATAAGATCATGTATATTTGTATGAAACCTGGACATTTGAGTTATGATAAACATCATAACTAACGTTTCAATTGACAACTTCCCTTACCTATATGCAGCAATTCACCCCTATCGACTGCATATGGGGTTTGTATCTTTCGGTTGATTCAATACGCTAGAGCATGCCTTGGCTTTCAACTTGACAATTTGATATATCGACGACGTATTGCCAATTTACAATGGTTATTTCCATTCTTCTATGGACAAAAAATATCACCGTGAGCTTGAAATAAAAGATATCACAGAGTCTGACACAACTGTTTTAAATTTGGATATTTTACTAGAAAAAGACGTTAATGGTTATCTTACAATACAGCTTAATTATATACCTGATGACTTACAGCTTAATTATATGCATGATGACTTTCATTTTTAATCGTCATCTTCCCTTACTTACATGGGTGCAGCAGTATACCCTTATCAACTACATACGGAGTTTATTCGATACATATGAGCATTCTGTACATAAGGACGATTTCTAAAATGAAGCAAGCTGCCATGCAGTGTAAGTTGTTGACAAAAAAGATTGCTGAAACAGTCATATAAGCATTCTAGTGTAAAGTCATAATTTAGTTAGTTCTATTGTCGATATAATGACTTTGTCAGCAGATGCTATCTTTTAAAACAAAATGCTAATTTATTGTTAGACCATTATTGACTTGTTGACGAATTTTCCGTTATTTCCCGATCATGAACAGGATGCACAGTCCTCCATGACACCTAATCTTACGTCTGATGTTTTCTCTGCTTCTGATCTGTATTGTTTAATGGATTTCTGAGTTTGAATACCGTTTGTCATCTGCATATCCTTCGTTAAGTAAGCATTTGGGATGCAGTTCCATGGATTTATGTATTTTAAGGTGGTTGTTTGCTTTGCTCCCGATTTATATTTTTTCAATAAATTTTTCAACTTTAATACTGTTTGATACATGTATCTTTATGTTTAATGTCAGCTTGTTGAATTTTGTCATAAATAATATATACATATATTTTTTTTACTTTTGTGTGGTTCTGATCTTGGGTAATATCGTGATATGCAAATAGTCGAGCATTCATAATGAGTTTTTTCGAATTCAAATAATTTTTATGTGACAAAGTGCATTTATGAAATTATATTATACATTGAAAAAATAACAAAAAAACATTTTATAAATTGATACACATATTAATATTATAATGATAAATAAAATCAATTGAGTCCTTTTAAAGAAAAATTGGATTTTAATCCCTGATAAAAAATAATTTAATTAATACCAATGTTTAAAGAATGTTTGTGGAAAAGGACTTTCCATTTTCTCTCAGTTCCTAATGCGTAAAAACATTTTTTAAAAACATAGGTGTGTCGATAAGTACAACTTAAGATTGATTATGTTTGTTTTTAATTCATACGTTATTTCATTAACATTCTTTACATGCATTAAAAGATGCAAACAAGTCTGTCATGTATTTTAAGGGACCTTATTTTTATCATTTATCTTGTTCAATCTTTTTAATTATCACAAACTAAAATAGATTTATGAATGGTAGTGAGAGAGTTAAATAGTCACTTCTTAATCCGTATTCACGGTTTGTAACAAAAAGGATTTTTTTGTGAGATGAAATGATTTTAAATATCTTTATTATAAATCAAACTCAATTTAGAAAACAAACTAACATAATCGTCGGAACTGAGAGGGCCAGTTGGAGTGGTTTAGCCTTCGCTACCACTGGTTTTTGCAAAGATAGACAAAATAAAGGCATTAAAAATTTAGGCTTATACCAAAAGACATTTTTAGGTATATTCCCTCACTCTCTATTTCCTTCCGATGCTTATATGATGGGGAAAAATACATATTTCTCTTTTGTGTGGTGCATACTACCCATTAGATAAAATTATTTATTATCCATGAGTATCATTTAAGGCTAGCACTTTCGATTTTTTTGACAAAGTTTTTATTGAAGATAAAAACTTATCGAAACTTCTGTTAATAAAATATGTTACATTATAAATGATGGAGATAAAAAACTGTATTCGAGCTAAAACATTTATTAAACAGCACGAAATAGGAGCAGAGCAAACACGGACCTCTAAACATCAGAGGCGAGAACGGGTGTCATGGAGAAAGGAGCATCCCCTGCCGACCGGTCACACCCACCGTGAGCTCATTGCCATTGTCGGAAAATAATAAACAAAATCCGTCAACAATTCAGTGTGTATATAATGGCCTAACAATTAAGTATGAAAAAGTCATTCTTCATTGGATTTTGTAATAAATTGTATTTGTAGACAAGGCCATTGCGTCTACCATAGAACTTATGAATTGATGACTGCTGATATTCTTGTTTCAATTTATTGGAATTTTCATGGGTGCCAATGCGCGCCGTTATTAGCAGACTTATTATTACTTCATATGAAGCAGAATTTGTGCAAAGTCTTATGCGTGAAAAGAAGAAAACACTCAGTCTTGCTATGGCCTTCTATTCGACATTTAAATATATCGACGACGCATAGTCAATTACCAATGATAATTTCCATTCTTATGTCGAAACGATATATCCTGGTGAACTTGAAAGAAAAGATACCACAGAGTCAGACACATTCGTTTCATGTTTCGATATTTTAATCCCACCCCCTTGAAAAGTGGGAGGGTATACTGTAATCGGTATGTCCATCCGTCCGTCTGTCTGTTAGGCTTTGGGGTACCCATCTTTATCCACAACTCCTTTTAAACCACTTAGTGAAATTTACTGAAACTTTCACAGAATCTTTATTACATGTTGCCATTGTGACCTTCTATTTAACGTTTTGATCCGACACATATTTTTGGTTTCTCGGCCACAGCAAAACATAGACTTTGCCATTGTAACCATGTGGGAGGCGGGGGGTATCATTTAGTGAGCTCATTGCTCACAGTACCTCTCGTTAAATAACTTACTTCTTTTTAATGAGTGTTCATACTTATAGCATGCAATTGCATATCGAATCTACTGAGAGATTTAAATTCCGTGTTCAGGTGATGAAGGTATATTGCTGCATACAGGTCAGTGAGGGAGATTGAAGATTGAAAAGTTAAAATCATCACGTTTATCATAGAGTTTGGTTGTTAGGTTACCATTAACGTCTTTTTCAAATATATTATCTAAATTTGAAGCATGTGTGTCAGACTTTGTGGTT